GAAACTTTCAGGGCAGATGGGTGTGTGTGTTACCTCGGGTGTGGTGGTCCCAGGGCTTGTACATCTGTCAAGACTCGTCAAATGTGTACTTTATTTATTTATTTGTTTTTTTGTGAGGAAGATCAGCCCTGAGCTAGCATCTGCCAATCCTCCTCTTTTTTGCTGAGGAAGACTGGCCCTGGGCTGACATCTGTGTCCACCTTCCTCTACTTTATGTGGGACGCCACCACAGCATGGCTTGACAAGCGGTGCGTCGGTGCGCGCCCGGGATCCGAACCTGCGAACCCTGGACCGCTGAAGCGGAGCGGGTGCACTTAACTGCTGCGCCACCGGCCGGCCCCAAATGTGTACTTTAGATGTATCTGATTGAACGTCATCAATTATACCTCAATGCAGTGGAAAAATTACGGTGGACGAGGGAGATGAGAAGCAGGTACCGTTCTGTGAAGGCCTCTCCAAATCGACGATGTCGGAGCAAAGACCAGAGGGAAGTGGGGGCAGGAGCCCTGCGGAGACCCGTGGCCAGGAGGGACTGCGGTGCAATGGAGGAGGCCACACGAGCCCTGTGTGTCTGCGTGGCAGCCGAGGCTGGCGTGGCCAGGTGGAGTGAGCGGGCTGACAGCGTCGGGTGGGACCTCAGAGTCCTGGGAAGACTTGGGCTTCCACACTTGGTGAGATGGGGAGATCTGGAGGGCTCGGGCAAAGCAGCGATGAGAAGCCATGACATCTTAGCAGCATCCCTGACTGCTGGGTGGAGACCGGCATCGAGAGGGAGGAAGGAAGCAGGGAGACAAGTAGGTAGTTGTGGACAGATGGTTTTCCTCCCCTCTGCCGTTCTTCATGTATGGCAGCCTATCTGACCCCTGGAAGGTCAGCGGCCCTGTGTGTTCTGAGGCCTGGGGCTGTGACAGTGCACAGGAGTTCACAGGGGTCGGGGAAGAAGGTGAGCTTGAGAGGACGAGCTGGCAGCCCCGCTGGGGAGATGGAGGGGCTCCAGTGGCATTCCTGAGCTCCCAGGGGCAGAGGCGTCCCCAGTTCCCCCAAAGCTGGCATAGGGGAGGGGCTGCGTGAACAAGGACCCAGGCTGCCCGGAGCACCAGCCCCGTCTCTTAGTGATTTCCATGTGCATCCCCGGAATGTCACACGACCCAGCAAGGAGGGGGAATAGTGACAGTGGGGGCCTCTCCAGCAGGTGGAGGGCTCTGAGGAGGGGCCTGGAAGGAGACTCATGGAATCGGCATCTCCTGAGGAATGCACAGGGCATGGGACTGAGGCCTCATCAAAGAGCGCCTTAGCCTCCTCTTCTCTCTCTCTTTTTTTTTTTTTTGTAAGGAAGACCAGCCCTGAGCTAACATCTGTTGCCAAGCCCCCTCTTTTTTTT